TCTCTCCATTGAAGAAATTTAGGGTTTAGTTTGCTGTGGTCCTCAAACGTATTTTTTTGTTCATGTCACATTATTATTCTTCTTCTTCACTGTGAAGAAATGGCACATCATGGGAAAATCTGAAGACTTTTGTGTGTGTGATTGCAATTATAAGCTTAGTTAATATGGCTATAAGTTCCATCCAATTCCCAGCACAACTCTTTGCTAGAGCACACCCTTTGGATACCACTGGCTCTTGCTGGAGAGAGGACACAACAGTGAAGAGAGCCCATATGATGTATTTCAGTATGCCACAAAGATTAGATGGATGGAACAGATGGGAAATCTCAAAGCAGGAAGAAGTGATTGGGTCCAGAGTGGTCAGAGGAAATTTCTAGGGAGAGCTTTTCACTGGTCTTTGAGGATGGATGCGATTTTAAGTGTGTAGAAAAAGAGTTGCTGCCTCCAACTCAATTTGAACAAAACTCAGCTCATCCGTGCAGAGACAAACCCAGAGTGATAGGGAAGGAGGTACCACAGACAACCAATGGGAAGAAGTTAAGGCAGGAAATCGTTAGGGATGTCTAGCAGTAAGTCAGATAGAAGTCCAGACAGGCCACCTGGAAGTGAGCTTGTGGCAGAAGTTCAGGCAGTAAGCAAGCCTCAGGGAAGTGTTACTATAGGTAGCAGAACCCTTCGGTCATTGGACTGAAGTTTAAGACTAGGATTCCAGGCCTTGAACAGACTTTATCGGGCAGGGGACAGGAAGGAGACAGGTCAGGAGTTAAAATAATAATAATAGCATCTCTATAGTGTCTACTATGTCAGGCACTGTGCTAAGTGCTTTACAAATATTATCTCATTTGATCCTCACAACAACCGTGGGAGGTAGGTAATTTTATTACCTCCATCTTACAGTTGAGGAAACTGAGGAAAACAGGGGGCAAGTGACTTGCCCAGGGTCACACAGCTGGTCAGTATCTGAGGTCAAATTTGAACTCAGATCTTCCTGACTCTGGGCTTAGAGCTCTATCCAATGCAAACTGATTCAAATTTGTAAGAATGAGTCTTTTACCAATTGATAAATGGTCAAAGGATATGATTAGGCAGTTTTCAAAGGAAAAGACCCAAGCAAGCAATAGCTTATATGACAGAATGTTCCAAATCACCCTCCTTGTTAATTATTTCCTGTTTATCATGTGTATAGCTTGCTTTCTATATATTTGTTTGCATATTATCTCCTCCATTAGACTGCAAATTCCTTGAGGGCAGGAACTATCTTTTGCCTCTTCAGAATTGTTAGCATTTAGCATTGTGCCCAGCACATAGTAGCCACTTAATAAATCCTGATTGATTTGAAATAGAGAAATTTGAATTAAAGGTACTCTAAAATTTGATCTCAGATTGGCAAAGTTGATAAGAAAGAAAATGACCAATGTTGGAAGGGCTGCAGGAAACATTAATGCACTGTTAATGGGGCTGTGGATTGATCTAGCCATTGTGGGAGGATTACTGGAGAAATTCTGAGTGCTGAAGACAAGGACAGGGCAGGCCAGGGAAAATTGGTTGAAAGAACTGGGAATGTCAAGCTTGGAAACTTGGGATGTTGGGACTGGATCATTACAGCAGTCTTCCAAAACAAGGAAAAATGGGTGGTAGTTACAGAGAAGCTGTATTTAATTTATAAAAACTTTCTATCAATTAGAGCCAAGGGGAGTGGACAGCTCTTGGAAGTAGTGGGACTTTCTCTTTCACTCTTCTCATTTTATAGAGGAAGAAATGAACTAGAGAGTTTGAAGGACTTGTCAAAGCTCACCTAGGCAATAAGAAGCACAATCAGAATTCACACTCAGGTCCTCAGACTTGAGACTCAGTGCTCTGCCCACATCATACCGCCATTCCCAAATGTTAAATTTAAATATGATGCTTCAGATATTGGACCTATAGGTTACAGTGGATGGGATGATGGGCCTGGAGTCAGAAAGACCTGGGTTCAAATCCAGCCTAAATCCCTTAGCTGTGTGAACACCGGTAAGTCACTTAACCTGTCTGCCTTGTTTCTTCAACTGCGCCTGCCTCAAAGGGTTGTGAGGATTAAATTAGGTATCTGGAAAGCACACAGCACAGTGCCTGGCACAGAATAGGAATTACATAAATGCTTATTCCCTTCCTTTCCTCCACCCCCACCCTGCCAAGTAATGGGCAGAGGACATGATGCTCACTTAGTATCTCACTGTATCTGTCATTCACTGTTCTATGAGCATGCCATCTCCCTAGCCAGACTTCAGGCCCACAAGGACAGATCCTTACATCTCACAGGGGACTCTGTACACAACAGGGCCCAATGTTCCTTAATAATGTTGATGATGGCCTAAGATTTATCAGCAGACCAGAAAAAGCTTTATTCAGATCTTGGCTGTGCAATGAGATTCGGTGCTTTTGCTTCTCCTCATTTCTCTTAAATAAGAACTAAGAAGATCCTGACCTGAGAGGTGAGAATAGAGGGAAGAAAATAGATATTTTTAGATACCTTGCAGCTACAATAATAGAGGTGACTTATGACTTCTGTGGGGCTGGGGAATCAATACTACTGTTTCATGAAGATGAAAATGAGGGAGGGAATAGCAGGTGAGCCCCAGCAAGATACTGCTTTCTCTACTGTCTCTTAGTACATTCCCATAGGATCCACCCACCCACACAGGTGGGAAGGGAAAGACAAGAGCAGCACAGTTCAGAAAGGGTGGGAAGAAAATCCAGTGGGACTGGGAATTCTGGATTAAAAGCCACTGAGGGGTGGGCTGTGTATAGTTGTGGCCTGACTTTAGATATCTGTAGTCTGGTCTAAGCATACTCAGAAGGGGTTAGTTAGTCCAGTGACTAGGAAAGCCCATTACATAGGCATTTAGACTAGAAATTTAACCACCCACCACTGACTGTACATACTCCATTCCTCTGTGAGCTCCTTGAGATCAAGGACTGCTTTTTAGGTATACTCAGTGTTTTGCACGTGCCTGGTACATGATGTTTATTTACTGACACAGAGATTGGAGATAATATTGGGAATACTGAGAATGAGAAGCTGAAATGTAGGGACACATTTGAGATCTAGAAAAGCTATACACAATCAAGATCTGTAGTTTCATGCACAATCTTTTTTTTTCTTATTCTACTACCTATATAGAAAAGCTAATTTGGTTTTTTTCGTTCAGAATTTCAAAAAAATGGAGAAAACAAAACATTTGGATTTGCCTACTTGAGTAGTATGAACTCTGAATGTTCCAAGAAGGATTCAGAGAAGTAGCAGCACTCAACCTACTTCTGGTAGGAAAAAGCTAATTACAAATCATTTAGTTCCTTCAAGTCCTCACAAGTTCTTTGAAGAAACCTATTTGTCCCAACGATGCCCCAGTATGTGCAGCATGCCCTATCACGCCTCTCCCCACCCCATGGTGGTGCCTTCTCTCTCACTTCATTGCTCCACTAGACAGCTTCCTAGTACACACGTTCTCTGCAGCCTGATTTTTAGCATCATAAACCCTGCCAAGGGAGCAGTTTTAAGAATACTATTTAATGGGGCAACACTCCATCAAGGAGGCCTGTCCATTTCTAGACCATTGCATAGGAAGACCAGGTACTCAGCCTCTCATCTACATACAGATCAGGGAGTCCAGATTTCCTTTTTGCCCTAGTTATGGTTCATAGAATCACCCTCAGGTTGAAGCCAAACTTGGAAAATTCCAGGGGAAAAGGGAATTTTCCATGGGGATTGGAATAACTGAACCTTGGCCAGGGAGGAGGCTGGAACAGTTCCCTTGCCAATGGAGTAGGAGTAGACAGGATAGTTAGCATGGTACTAACAGATGAAATGAGAAAAGCTTTGGCCTTCACGAAATCTTCTATCTCCTTCCCAGCAGGGTTATGATGTAGTGAGGGAGCCTCAGAGTTAACAGAAATCAGAATCCTTGGAGGGGATTTTTTCATATTTGAATCCCAGGTGACTAACAGTGCCTGGCATATAGTTGGAGCTTAATATTTGTTATGCCCTAGAACACTAGAATTGTTAAGACCAGGTGATTTCTAATGCATTGTTGGTGGAGTTTAGAAGTGATCCAACCATTTTGGAGAGCAATTTGGAACTATGTCCAAAGGGCTATAAAAACGTGCATACCCTTTGACCGAGCAATAGCACTTCTAGGGCTATATCCCAAAGAGATCATACAAGTGGGAAAAGGACCCACATGTACAAAAATATTCATAGCAGCTCTTTTTGTGGTGGCAAAGAATTGGAAATTGAGGGGATGCCCATCAATGGCTGAACAAGCTGTGGTATATGAATGTAATGGAATACTATTGTGCTATACGAAATGAGCAGGCAGACTTCAGAAAAACCTGGAAAGACTTGCATGGACTGATGCAGAGTGAAATGAGTAGAACAAGGAGAACATTGTACATACATAATAACAGCCACACTGTGCGATGACTAACTTCGATAGCCTTAGCCCTTCTCAGCAATGGAAGGATCTAAGACATCTCCAAAGGTCCCATGATGGAAAACACTATCCACATCCAGAGAAAGAACTATGGAGTTTGTATGCAGATCAAAGCATACTATTTGCTAATTTTTTTTCCTGTTTTGTTTTGTCTCCTCTTTCTGTTGATTCCTCCTATTGGTTCTAATTCTTCCTTACATCACTAACATGAAAATATGTTTAATAGGAATGTAAATGTATAGCCTATATCAGATTACATACCGTCTTAGGAAGGGTGGTGGGAAGGGAGGGAGAGAAAAATTTTAAACTCAAAAGCATATGAAAGTGATTGCTGATAAATCAAAAAAAAAAAAAAGACCAGGTGCTTTGACCTGCTAGATGAATCTAGGGCTATGAACCATATTCTAACACCAAGGCAAAGATCTACCTTTGTTGGTTTATGGCACTAGCTCCTGGAAGGGAGAATGAAAGTGTAGGCATCCCTGGCCCCCTCTCCCCACCTCAGAGCACAAAGGAGGTGAGTCAAGCAAGGCCCACCAAAAGGGAATCCTTTAATATAGATACTGAAACAGGATACACAAAACGGCCCCCTGGGCAGTACTGCTCACACACATGACTCTGGCCCCATAAGCCAGATGGATGCAATGGTTTTCCAAAAAGGGACAGTTTACAACTTGGATTCTCTCCCCAGGGGTACAGGTAAAGGGAAGGTGTTTTTTTTAAAAACATGGCTGTCACTTGTTTACTTTGCAGAAAGGGGAATCTGGGGGATGAAGGGCACAGCCAAAGAATTTCTACATCCTGGTGAATAACAATTCCTCCCTCCCCCCAAGTATATTCCCTGCCAGGGCTGAAGCTTGGGACCCCTACTCCCCAATGGAATGGTCACTCATACAAAGTCAGGGAATATGCACATTTATGAGAACAAGGGAAAGAATAGGGGAACCAGGGGGGCTGTACAACAGAGGGACTCACTTTCCTTTAAATAGCTTTTTTTCTTTTTTTTTCCCTGCTTTTAGTGTTTCTACACTATGTACATTTTGTGCTTTGTAATTAATCACCTCCCTCCCCCCCAACCCCACCCTACACAGCCTCTTGCACTTGGGCTTGGGGTGAAGAAGAGGGAACATGGGTGCCACAGATACAATGAGGCTGGTGGGGAGAGATCTGGTCTACATGACAGCCCCTCAATACCCAATGAAGGGTAGCACAGGCTTGCTGTAGCCTTTAGGTCCACATACATAATGACTACTAAAGATGAATTAGTAGGGCTTCATCATCAAGCCAGGAAGAAAAAAAACCCAGGGCCCTTCCAGAGTCCACAGGCCCAGAACATCAGACCATGCTCGGCTTCTCCCCCAACTCTGCCACATTCATGAGGAAGATAAAACAGAAGGCTCAAAGCCAGAGTCAGATAGAGGGCTGGCACCAGTCAGGGTAGGGATGGGGCAAGGCTTCTGATAGGACACTGTGGATGGCCTGTGCAGTGGGAAGATGTAAAGAATACATCAGGGCCAAGGAGAGGAAGCCTCAGTCCTCGTGCTGGCAGAGAGGTGAGGGAAGGGGCCTGGACAGAAACAACTGTCATAACAGCTAGGAAGAAGGACGGACTGAAGTGGCCAGCCACAGTGTGTGGCTACTAGGTCTGAGCAACAACAGAAGTGGCTTTGGTTGGGTGAGCGTGATGTATGGGCAGCTGAAACGCTTTAGTTTCCCTGCCTCTGGATGAGGAAGAACAGTGGTGAGTATGTAAGGACTGAGGGGCAATGATGAGTGGATGGTAGGAGTGGGCATGGCAGTTCTGAGACCAGCCTAAGCTGGAGGATCCAAATGAAATCAAGGGTCAGTTGTTCTCGAAGAGGGACAGCAGGTCATCATTACTGTTGGTGGGGAGGTCGGGTGGGCCCAGGTACGACAGCAGCTCATCGGGATTGGTCAGTTCTGGGAGGAGCTGAAGACAAAGTGAAGAATGTCAGGAGCCAGAGTCTGAGTCCTATCTCCATAGCTGAACCCAGCTAGCATGCCACCCTCCATCTACTTTAGAACTAATTATGAGACAAGCCCTGTAATTATAATTACAGGGCCAACCCCCACATACTGCTGCTTTGACATGTTCATTACAAAACATGTTAAAATCATTTTTTTAAACCTTAATACAGCTATTGTATAGACAGTCAAAGATCTATGACTGTAACTATGGGAGCTCCTTCTGCTAACCAAGGTGGAATTGGATCTCAGGTCTTCCAAATGACTAAGTCTAGTCCTCCATTGACTGTCCCACTGCCTCGCTATGGTTTGAGGGGTGGGGGCACATTTGGACCTACTGGACATCTCAGTGAGGGAGCACTGCCAATCCAGAATGGCACCTGCTTCACAAATCTATCATCTTGGAGAGCTGGAATTAATGGCTTGTGGAACTTGAACCTAGGTTTTTTGGACTTTGAGGTTAGTTATTTACTATGCTACATTGCCTTTAATGAATAAGAGAAAACTTCATTTCCTTAAATCTCCTCACCTTTCTGGATTTCCTTTTCCTCATCTGTAAAATATGGAAACTGAATGAATTCTGAGGTTTCTTTCAGCCCTAAGTTAACAATCTCTGTGACCAAGAAACACAATTGACCTTTCCTTCCCTATCTACAACTCTTTTCTCGATGACCTTGAGTCTCACGTTTCTCAGAAAGGTATGGTTAGCAAGAGGTGAACTACACTCACATCCAGAGCTGGCTCTGGCCCTTCTACAGTGCCAGGCATCCCTGGCTGCCCCATCATGCCTGCAGCAGAATTAAAGGCCAACTCGCCAGTAGGACCTGTCCCACTCGATGGCCCCAAGGGCTGCCGGGCCTGGGGGGGTGGGTTCCGATGATGGAGCTGTGACCCTGGTGGGGCACTGAGATTGGGATTGTGCAGTGCCTGCTGGCCAGGATTGTGAGATGGGTCCATGTGGCCTGATGGTGCCATCTGAACAGAAGGAGGAAGCCACACAGTGAAATATTACAGGAAAAGGCATATTCATTTGTTCTCCCCCAGTTTCCCTCCCTTTGTAGGTGCAGAGACCAAGAATTATTCTTTAAGCCACCTGCCCCCTGTCCCCTCCTGAAACCACACTGACCTGTCCAGGGATGGAAGGAGCTGGAGGCTTTTCTGGAGTCAGGAGGCTGCTAGGAATGTCTGACTGGTATGAGATTGGTGGTGGCCCTGGGGTGAATTCTGTAAGGGTTGGGGTACTAGGTGTGGTGGGGGGGAAAGAATCAGGGAAGTTTCCAGGGCCTGAAAAGTTAGAACCTGCAAAACAAAGGTGTTTTGTGAGATACATTCTTCAAAATAACACTGCCTTATTGTGGCTTACACTTGTTTTGAAATCAATGACTTCAGGCAAATTAAATTTTAAAATGCATTTAAGATGGAAGAAGACTGACAAAAAACATCTTTGTGGGCTAGTTGTTTGTTTTGTTTTACTTAAAGAGCTCACTTAATTGGTGATAGAAATTCCAAAGTCTACAATAGATATAACTATTCAGAAAGAGAAAAGATAGCCTTTATTGTTGCTGATAGATCAGTAGCTTTTGTTAATATCCTTGCAGGTGGGAAGAACACATAAAATAAAACTTTATGCATATTTCACCCTGAATAAGGCCAGGTTATTGAAATGTCCCCCCAAAATTGACTAGGATTGACAGGGGCAGAGAAATGGGGACAAAAACCCTTCATTGATGGTCCTTCTGCTATTCCAGGTTCCTGAGGATTCTTACTCCAAACTATAAAAGAAACAATCAGGCTGGTACTCACTCTGACCGGGATAATCGCTGGTGGCAGGGGCTGAGGGAGGTTGCAGTGGGGCAAAAGGGGAAGATCCAGGGCCCAAAGCAGCAATCATCTCCATGACATTGGGCATCACCATGTGGGTAGGGCTCATGGTGCGGCAGCGCTTTAGAACAGGTCCATCTGATTCTTCCTTAATGTGGAGGTCAGGCTTGATGGGCACTGGTTTCCAGCTACAGGTGGGGTCAATGGTGATTTCTTCATAGTCTGAGCTGGGGAGGAGAGGGGACACACAAAAGAAATCAACTTTTAATTACATGCTATATCTTCACTGATAATCTTATACATTCCAACTGACCTCCCTACCCTCATCCCTTTATATCATTTTCCCATTTCACTAAGCCTCAGTTCTGAGTATCTCTTTGCCCAAATCAATTTAACAAACAATTACTGGGTACCTAATGTGTATAAGGCATTGCTATTATCCCTTGAGTTTCAACTGAGATTTTCCAACTCAAATCCTTATTGATTTGGAATGAATTGTTGATTATCTAACCGTTTGTACCCAGCATCATTAAGTTAGCAGGATATATGATCCCTGAGTTGGCACTGGGCCCATTTCCTGGGAAGATTCCATGATCCAACTGTGATATGGGTGAAAAGATTTCAGTAGATCTCAGCATTACATCTTGCATGGTCATGACTGCCCTCTGGTGGCCCCACAAAACATCAGTTCAAAATCTGGCTAAGTCCAATTAGAATTACTTTTGGATGTAAATAAGAATCCCCAGCATATATTGATCCACCTCCAGGCCTTCCAGCAACGCAGTCTTACTGCAAAGAAACAGAGGATACATTGTCAGTGAAGTAACAAGGTCTCTACCTCAAAGATACCCTCCTCTCTCTATCACAAGCCGATTCTCTGGGCACCCAATGTCTATGACAAACCTTGGAGAAGTCACTCCATCATTATGAAATGCAAGTTTTCCCATCTCTAACTTTACCTTGCCTTATATATTTCACAAGGTTGTGAGGTAACATGTCAAATTGCTTTGATAAACATAAAATGTTATATAAAATGCAAATGATCATTATTGCCACCACTATTGAAGTACCCTCAACCCCTTGGTGACTCCAAAAGGCATAATCCCTATACTCACTTGCAGACAGGACATCTCCAAGTTCCCCTCTCACAGTTCAGCTGCAGGTAGGATTCTAGGTCAAAGCACTAAAAAGATGATCAGATACAATCAATTAATCAACAAGTATTTATCAAGCACCTACTATGTGCCAACAGGCATTATGCTACTGCTGGAGAAACATGTACAAAGAATGAAACAATCCCTGCTGGCAGAGTTTACATTCTAGTGGCAGGAGCTGGGGGGCATGGGGAGCCCCTTCCTCTCAAGAACATATAAAAAGGCATAAGGCTGTAAGAAGTACCCAAGCTGAACAGGCTGGGTTTATACATTGCCTCAGTTGTCTGTGCTAATGTCTCTACTTTCACCCTCTAGCCCCTGCCTCTCAATTTCTAGATCTTCAAATTGGGCTCAAGGCATGACAAATAAACAAATGATCTCAAAGCCCAATTTATATGATTTATCACCACCATCTTACTTGTATGTGGCGGCAATCATGTCCTCGGGCAGGGAGCTGGATCCTTCGGAAGGTGATGGGACACTTCAAGGACACTTTGATAGCAGTCTGCTCCACACCATCCTCTCCATTGGGTCCAGGGGTGCCAGGGATGGTACCACTGCTAAAATTCCGCTTTACTAATCATTGGGAGGAAAACAGACGAGATGCTCCTGAGCTTCGAGAAGCTGGGGATACTTCAGGGATATAAATGGGGAAAGGCTGCTGCTAATTAGGCACCAATGAGTCAAATCTCATGATGACAAATCTGAAATAGCTGTCTGGCTCAGAGATTAACAGGGTTTCTGAAGCCCCATAAAGGCAGGCTCATGGCAGGAATTGGCAGGGGGCTGGGCACTACTCACTTTTGGTGATGCAGTGCTCCGCCGGAAGCAGGCGCTTCTTGATGAGGCCCTGCAGGACAGAGCGAACCGAAGGCCGATGCACCAGCTGCAGCACAAAGAGGTGCGACTGCACAAAAAGAAGGCTCAGGTTAGGGGGACAGAGACCAGCTGTTTGAGGGCACCCGCTTGCTGGGTCCCAGCCCCTGGGTCTAGCTCCTATAATTTCAGGGCTGTTGTTGGGTAAAGGAGAAAGAAATAGAGGGAAGAAGCTAGGTACCTGTGGCGTCCCCCTCCCCTGTGAGTCTTTAGGTGTGGGATAAAAGTTCCTTTGGCCCCACTTGGAACACAGGTGGCTGCCTCTATTTGACACAGATCTCCTCACATTGGCCTTCATTTAGAAGCCTCAAGCACAGCTGCTGTTACCCAGGGTTTACTTGTAAAGAAAAAAAAGAGATACTGATCCCCCTTCCTCCTGAATTAATCAAAATGATTATTTCCCAGTCCCTATCTCTCCACCAAAAAAAAACCAGGAAAAACTGGGCCCAGAAGTCTGCTGAAGGTTAGCCTTCCTTCTTCACAATATGTACTGTTGCTTATTTTGGGTCTGGGTTCAATTTCCAGAGCCCTGTACAATTTGGCCTGTAAGTGCCTATGCTTCAAGCTTCCTTATAGCAGCAGAGATACACCTGGGGGATTTGGGGCTCCTCCTTATAACTCTATGTTGAATATTGATTGAGGTGGTATAACTTCCACTTGGGGAGGTTTTTCCTGCTTCCTTCTCCACAAATAGCCAAGAAACCTCATGGAGAGCAGTGATCCAATCTTGGCACACGGCCTGGCATCTCTGCAATGAGGAGCCAGGACTCCAGGAGCATGGTCCTATACCCAGGGGCCCTTCTTAACCATTTATACAAATTAATGTCAACTCCAAATCTAATGAGTACAACACTGGCAGAAGCACATGCAACTGTGTCCCTCTTTTGGTGGGCACAGAGAAGGGATTGGAAGGTAAACAAATGGCTTGCAAGGAAGGGAATCCAGTACCTTTTCCTTTAGTGATGAAGCCTATAACTCAGACATCTTCAACTGGCCTGGCAGCTTTACCCTGACTATCATCAGGCAGGGATATTTGTATACAGATAGTCATACTCAGTGTGCCCGTACAAGTTTATACAAGTGTCTGTGCAAATGTTAACTCTCCTCTGTGTTTCGTGTTTGCCTGGCCCTGGCTATGCTGCCCACCCCACTTCCTTGCTCCCAGCTCCCATGTCCTGTGTTGTCCAAGAGTCACTTACACAGCAGCAGGCGGTGACAGTGATCTGGATGGTGTTCCTGCCAGGCTGGCACACATGCTTCAGGTAGAGGGGCTTGTGGGACGTCTTGTTGTCTCCTCGCTCGATGGTCAGGGGTGTGGCATTGACGCTCACCTGCACCGACGCAGGCCAGTTGGTGTTCATCTGCCGGTCCTCGTGATGATAGCATTTAAACTGTAGCTCCAGGTCAGGTCTGAACCAGGGAAGAGGAAACAGCTTGTAACCAAGAAAATCTACCACAAAGTATGGGGAGTGGGAATGACAGGCTAATGGGAAGGTGGGGGTCCAAGGGGCTCACCTCAGCATCAGCGTTTTGTAGACCGAGTCGCGGAGCTGGAAGACATGGTTGCTGACAGCCAGGTTGTGCTGCAGACGGAAGGGCTCCAGGACCACCCCATCTCTGACCGGGAACGTGAGCCGCAGCTCGTCACATGGGTTTCCTGCAAGGGGAGGGCAGGGGCTGGCGGCGGGCATGGGGGCCAGCGACACCCAGTGCCAGTGGACATGTAGCTTGAGTTGGTGCTGGGCAGAGGGGATGGTGGGGGAGCCCAGTGGGCACCCGACCAGCAGTGTGGACTTGGGACAGGCACTGCCCTCTCTCCAGCTGGGCCGAGCACGAGGCCCTGCTTCTTCCTGGTTCTTAGGGGGGCCCAGGGTGCATCTCCCCCTTCTCTCTTGAACCATGCTACCATGATGAGCCATGCTGGGGGCTGCGTTTGGGCATCCCTCCCCCCATTCTCAACTGTCACTTTCAACGGTCATGGAATGTTTGGAGCTGAAAGTTCCATTGCCCCTTAAAGGGGGCCCCCAGTTGGGATGTGCAGCAGAGGCATGTTGCCCCTGCCAATCCTGCATGGGGGGAGCCTGCTCCAGGCTCTGTGGAGGGTGGGAGGCTAGACAAAAGGCAGATCTCCTCAGGTTTTCCTAAGGACCCTCAAGTTCTAAGGGTATCCCCATCACTTTGTTACTTGACTGATGGTTTCAGATCCCCAAACTCTATCTGCCATGGTTCTAAAAACAGCTAAGAGAACTGTTTGGTTTGGTGGGCTTTTTTTTCTTTTTAGACTCCATCCACTGAAGGTTAAATGTAAAAAAAACCTGATGCGTTGATACATCAGTCACTCCCCTACCACCCCCCAACAAACCCCACTATCTTATAATCGTTTGACATAAAAAAAGTTAAGCAAAACCATCTAATACAATGATTGTAACTGACAGCAAGTGTAACTTTCTGCTCTTCTAGTTTACCACTTCTTAACAGCAAGGAAGTCTATTTTACCCTTAGTCAGTGGGAATCAGTACTGACCACTATACAACCTGAATTCTGTTGTCTTCATTTACATTAGTGCAGTCATTGTGTATACTGTTGTTTTGGTTCTGCTCACTTCACTCTGCAGTTCACACAAGTCTTCCCATGTTTCTCTGAATTCTTCATTAGACTGCCTTAGCAACCTAGAGATTCCACCGCTAGGCACAGACCCCAAGGAGGTCAATGACAAAAAGAAAGGTCCCCATATACACCAAAATATTTATAGCAACATTTTTGTAGCAACAAAGGACTAGAAACAAAGTAGATGTCCATCAACTAAAGAATGGTTAAATAAGTTATGGTACATGAACATAATGGAGTATTACTGTGCTGTAAGAAATGATGAATCCATATTCAGAAACATGGTTAGACTTATATGAACTAATGAAAAGTGAAGTAAGCAGAAGCAAGAAGACAATACAGAGACTGACTACGACAATGTAAATGGAAAGAACAAAACAATAACAATACTTGGAAATTATAGGAACCAAGCCTGGCCTCAAAAGAGGAAAAGACAAACCCATCTTCCCTTTGCAGAAGTGAGTGATCATGGGTGTGGAATATTACACAGACTTTCTTGGATGTGTTGCATAGTTTTGCTGAACTCTTTTTTTCCCCTCTTTTTGAAATTCTGTTACAGGGGACAGTTCAGGAAGGGGGAGGAATAAATACAATAAGAAATGTAGGTGACAGAAAAACAAAAGATACCAATAAAAATCTTTTTTAAAGGTAACACAGTCTTCTCCAATCACTGAATGGTTTTCAGGGCTTCCCATGTGAAGATGAAAACTGTCTTCATTTCCAACCTACTCTTCGATAATATTTCTTCTGAGAGTTCAGACTCTTAGAAACCCTAAGAATGAGACTTACCAGAGGGAGAAGGGTGTAGGGAACTCATGTTGGGCTTAATGTCAGGCAGGAATGGAGACTTGACTTCTTGACTAGGAGACATATAAGGTGGTATGCTACTGCCAGGAGTCATTGGGGGTGTAGGGTTCCCAGGCAGTGGGGAGCTGGGGTAGCCAGGCATTGATCGGGTGGGCTGTAGGAAAACAGACAAAAGCTATTAAGGCAAGTAATGGCTAGATAACTGGGCCAAAACAGAAATGTGTATGTGTGAGTCTAATATTTGAGTGCATAATCACATTGGAGGGGGAGGCAAGAGCTGCTGAGAAGTGGCTTAACTCTCAAAGGCTCCTCATGTTCTGGCCGCTGGGGTCAAGCAAGTTTCACAAGGGGGCCCATATTCCCATTTCCATCATACCCCATTTATGTTGGGCTGGCTGTAGCTGTTGAAGTTCCCTCCATTGAAGTTGGTGTTCTGCCCATTGAACTGCTCTGTGGACTGCTGGGGATAAAAAAATGTGTCAGTGACCTGCAAATAGAGCCTTGGCCTGTACCTTTAGTGCAGAATTCTCTCAGACATTTGAATACCAAGGGATGGCCAGAAGTACAATGCTAGATTATAGAAAGACCCTGGATGACAGGCATTTGTGAGAAAAGGGGAGAACTGAGATAGAGGACATAAGACACCAGAGAACTTACCACAATCTGAATAAATCACCAACAAACATTTCAACATTCAAAGAACAAGGGAGAAGCTTGTTATAAGAAACTGTGAACTTGTGTTATAGAAGCCTTTTTGCTAATTCTCATGAATTCTAGAACTGGGGGAGTAGAAAGAGAGAAGCTAGAGAGCCGGCAGTGTATGGTAACATATTAGGCACCACCTTCCCTGCAGCTTTCTTCCCAGCTCTAGAACTCAAGCATTAGCAAAAGGTGCATCTTGCCACCTCATTCAGCCACAGCAGAAGCAATCCTCAAAATCTCTACTCCAAAAGAGTAGTAGATGAAAGATCAGGTTATAATAATCTTCTGGGGCACTGTCACTGTTCCATAGAGAGAATGATACCAAGGCCTAGAACAGAACCTGTCTTGTACAATACTTTAGGTTTTCTATAGTAAAATGGAGAGCTTAGTGCTTTTGATTAAAAAACCAAAACAAAAAAGGAGTATTTAGATGGCTTAGACCCTTATAAACCTCTCTATATTGAATTTCCAAGCTACAATTCTAAAAGCCACGCTGGCAGCAGCTTTGTACCTTAAAATAGGGTCCTGCTGAGCTGGAGGTGGACAGGTATTGGCCCATTGCTTGCTGGATAGGCATCCTCTGGCCAGGGTACGAGGGGGAGGGTGCTGATGGCTGTGCAGTATTTGGTGCATATTGGGCAGTGCTGGGAGCATACTGGCCACCTTGCATATACTGCTGTGCTGGATAACCCTGGAAAAGAGATAAAACAGATACCCAAAGATAGTTAGAGGGCTTAAGACTACAGAAAAGTCATCTGGGAGGGAAAAGAAAACTGCCTGAAGAAGAGCATCGTTCTACTGCACAAGGGCCATGGAATACAGAACTCTAACCTCTGAAAGAATACAAGGGTAGGTCAGGTGGGGAGGGGGTTGAGGGGAGAATTCTTGGGTTTGTTTGGGATTCTGTTACATCTGCCCCCTGGGCCCTGGACAGCTCACTCCAATCTAATATCGGTTCATACTCCTTTATGCTTGCCTAAACCTAAACCAGTTGAGAATATAAACATCAGTAACTGAGGTATCTGAGCTGTTCCTGGGGTGAAGCAGCTCTCAGATCTTTCAATGCCCTTTTCTCTGTACTCACCTCACTGGAGTAGGCTCTCTTGACTCCCTGTCGGGGCATTTGCTGTGTCTGAGGGGCCCCTGGGTACCCATGCTGGGGCAGTCGCTGCCCTCCATACAAGGGAGTCATTCCAGGTGCCCGGGTTGGGTTCATACCCATGGGGGAGATCCCAGAGGGGCCCATCACCCCTCCTATACTGGCAGGGTTCATGCCAGCTGGGACACTGGGCCCCCTTGGACCCCCATGCTGCAGAAACTGGCTGTTAAAGGGCTGTCCTGCCCCCATCTGGGGAGAGAGAAAAAGGAATTATTCAAGGCCCCATCTATGAAAAATGACAGAGAGAGAGAGAGAGAGAAAGAAAGAATAACTCCACATTCATCTTTGCTTATCCCTCAGCCCAGCACAACACTTTTAACATCCCATCTGACTTCTATCATATTACAGTTATCTTTCTTGGGTCTTTTACTGCTCTACTTCTTTACTATCTTTCCCATAGCATGATCTTTCGTCTTATGCCCCTCCCACCCTTTCTCCAATAGACTCCCCTGGACAGCCAGAAGTGTGAAGGGGAGGGTTTGGGGAAACCATATAGCCCTCAGCTGTTATGCCCCCACCCCATGCCCCAGTTTATCCATGCGTGTCCATCTTACAGCAAAAAACCTTCTCCTCGTACCATGCTGAGGATCTGGACTAAGTCAGTGTTTTATCAGTGACCTCACAGAACTATTCATTTTTAGAGCTAGAAGGGCCCTTAGAAACCTACTGAACTGATTATTTTAAAGAGATGAGGAAACTGAGACTCAGAAGTTAAGTGACTTGCCCAAGGTCACACAGCTGATTACTGACAGAACTGAGACTAGAAGCCAGGCTCTCAGTCCAGTATTCCTTCCCCTATACCATGCTGCCTCAATCTGGGCACACAGGACCAAGGTGAGTAGTCAGGGAAGGCACCTTACCGCTCCATACTGGCTCAGCTCCTGACTCTGCTTCTCCTGGAGAGCGGCCACAGTGGCAGTAGCAGTAGCAGTGGCAGTAGCTGCAGCAGCAGCCACAGCGGCAGCAGCAGCTGCCTGAGTGAAGTCAGTGGAGGGTCGGGTGGCATGTGAGGGGAGACCTAGGCCCCCAGGGCCACTTGGGCTGCCTGTGTAGCTGCAGGAGACACAAGATTACACCTCCATTCCGCCCTGGCTCAGAAGCAGCCTCTTATTAATCACATAAGGCTAAAATTTGAGTTCTTTCAAAAGAGGGGACTCGGCTACCAACTTCTTAGGCAGAATGGAATCTCATTCATTCTTTTTCAAATGTTTTAGGTCATATCTGAAGTCAGCAGAGCAGCAGTTAGTCTGTGCACACACAATTAACCAACAAATATTGATTCACTCCCTAGTATGTACATGGTATTGTGCTAGATGTGAACTAAAGACCCAAGTTCTAAATGGGGAAAATTCAAAAGAGTTGGACAGGAACCCCTTCTACAAGATGGTGCTTACCTGGTGGGAAAGCCAGGACCTCCAGGATAGCTGCCACGGCCATACATTCCTTGCTGCATATAACTCTTGTTGGCACCGCCTTCTGGAAAAGCTTGCTGCCCCAAGAACTGAGGAGAGTTCATAGCAGGGCTGCCACCTGCCATGCCGGGCATCATGGGACTGCCAGAGGGGTTCCCCCCAGGGCCCATGGGGCTTCCCAAAACCTACAAAAAGCAATAATACTCACATTGCCAAGAACCTCTAAGGCAGCGTGTTATGGACCCCTTCTCAGAATGTTCTTAGATATATAAATGTTAAAATAATGATGCATTTTGGTTTTTTTTCCCCTTCCAAGTTTATGGAACCCCTGAAGTTTCTCCTTGGAATGCTTCTGGATCCATAGACCCTAGACTAAGAAACCCTTCTCTAAAGGGAAGTAACAGTCTAGTCTACTCTAAAACAGCAGCCTTCTACTTCTTCAAAACAGAGGGGCCAGGATGTCAGATTAAGGGAGGGGAAAGAATGTAGGGGTTGGGGTGGGGATTTACTGAGAATAGTTGAGAGATTACAAGACCCCAGAGAACAATGTTCTGAGGGAGACTAAGGTGACTAATTCATCTACACGTTTATCTTGGGGAAGCGACGGCTAAGTCCTGAACATTTGGTGGGAAGCTTTTACCTGACTCTGGGATGTATTGCTGACTCCCCACACGGTGGTTACCACGGAGAGTGATCCTGTTGGCTGATTGGTGCTCTGTTGCCAAGGAACAGACTCATACGCAAATGAACCATCACTGTGGGGGAAAGAGGATAGTAAGGAACATATTTCAAGTTCCAGACAGTGAACTGGCACAATCTTGAGGTTAGGTGGTATAGGGATGCCTGATAGTACAGGGATTCACTGTTCTCAGAGGAACTGAGGGCTGGGTACAGGGACAGGTCATTCCAGGGAAGATAGGGAGCGGAGAGCATAAGCATGACTCAAACAGACCAACCACACAGGTCCTGGCCTTAATCAAGGCCCAACACAGGAATGGGAGTGTCTTTTACTCACCCGTGTGGCGTGGGGGGGAGGGCAGGTTTCATTGGGTTCATGGAGTTCATTGGCTGTGAAGTATCGTGAGGGACAGGGGGGTCTGGGACTTGAATATAGTTGACCTCAATGGGGTTAATCTGGGACTCAGCCCCTCCAAGCTGCTGTGACAGAAAGAGAAAAACTGTCACCTCTGAGGAAAATTTAACAGAAGATGCTATAGGGACTTATAGGAAACTAGAGTAACTGAATCATTCCCTCCCCACCACAAACGATGAATAGAAAAAAGCTGAATGGGAGAGTTCATAGGTGTGCTCTTTTGGGGGCTCAGGAGCTAGTTAGTGCAGTCCCTTGGGCTCTTCTTTCATGAGCAGAGGGTATATTCTGGGTAGGAAGCACATGGAGGGCACCCCAGGCAGGGCAGGGTTAAGCTTAGGGACCCAGGGGGCCATACTCAGGGTGTCTCGGCCAGCCAGAGGAACTTGGCGTCCTGCCCATGTCTGGCAAACCTCTGCTCCTGGCAAGCTCAGCTAAGAAGAGTACATTAACCCCCTGTGGCCCAGCTACTACCACACAAGCACCCAGAGCACTAGTATGAATGACCCAGGAAACTACATATCTAGGTACAAATGTCTTCATCACTCTGTACAAAACTTTTCCTCCTAGTCTTTCAGTATCCATATAAAAAAAGGGAAATCTCAGCTTCTCTCAGCAGAAACTTTGGGGTGAGTAGAGCAATAAGAGAAGAACTGGGTCCCACCAGAAACCACTTGGAGAAGTGGATGGAGGGGCAGCTAGGTGGTGCAATGAATAGAGCTCTGGCTTTGGAGTCAGGAGGACCTGAGTTCAAATCCAGCCTCAGACACTTAACATTTACTAGCTGTGTGACCCTGGGAAAGTCACTTAATTCCAATCGCCTCACCAAAAAGCAAAAAAAAAAAAAGGTGGAGAGGGGGCAGGTAGAGAAGGGAAAGGCACCTCAGCTGTGAAGAGCTGCAGGCTCTTGTTTACCATTGCTTGCAAGGAGAACAGAGGTGAAAGGCTGATACTACAGTGTTTTCAGGCTCAAAGGGATTTCCATAGTTGACAAATGAAGATGTCCCTAGAGGAACTAAGCATGGAAGAAGTAAAAAGACAGAGCCTTGGGGACCTTGGGGAAGTTCGAGAACCAGAAGTCCAATATGAGCAAGGGTCCTCAGAGCTCAGCTTCCTAAGAGTAGGCAGGGTCGAGAAAGTGCAATAGCTCAGCTCCCAGAAAATTCAGACAGGGGCTTGAAAAACAAGGCCAAAAACAAAGCCTGGTAATTATTTTCTGGGAACGGTGCTGTATAGAATCTTACTCAAAGTCAAGAAGGTCAGAGAGGATTAGCAGGGAAGGGCAAAGTCCAAGGAATTACAATGTGGTTTAACTACCACCACCAGCAGATACCACCATACTCCTCTTTATCAGGAGCTGATGCCATGGAGGAAAGGGGACATAGCATGGGAGGTCAGAAAAAAAGGCAAGACAGAAAAAGCAAAAACAAAACCTTTACTCAAATGAAGCACAGAATCTTGGCTGTTGAACAGACAGCCAGGTCTTTCTGCCTCCTATAGTCTCTTCCCCAATCCCCTGGAAACAAGGGACATTTTACCTAACAGAATTTCTTCTCTGTGTCTGAAGGAGCACATAAGCCAGCTGCCTTTCCTTCTAAAGCCAAGCAGCCATCACCTCAGGATGCAGTAGGAGCTGCTCTCTCTAGCACCCGGAGCATTAGACTGGGAATCCAGTGTGAGCCCTTTAACACAGTCTCTCCCCTCCTCCCAGAATAGGAGAGGGGGGCATTAGTTCTGTTCCCATTCCCGGGCCAGTTGTGCTCTGTGTTAGACAGGCATCAGCCATCCCACTTGGGGCTTCTGTGCAGTCTGCCAGCCTCCTAGGCAGAGTGTGAGCATTACTGCTGGTAAGGCTAAGTTGTTTCAGAGAGGAAGAAAGACCGATATTGGCCACTCCACTGAAGATGGATGCACAGCCAGAGGTGGGATATAAGACAGGGCAGAGTACACAGGAGCAGAGAGGTTGGCCTTTACAGACAGACATGGTAGATGTTTGCAGAGATGCACACTCAAGACATGCACAGACACACTTTGAACATGTGTGTCCGTCTGAGGAATTGTATACATCCATCTGTCAGAGAGTATGTGTTTGCTCCCATCTGTCACACACATACAGCATGAGTAATTGTCAGCAACCACACACATGGCATAAGCACACAGGGGATATGACTTGCACAAGAGATGTTGCAAACAAGAGGCATGATACACTTAAGACACAAAGTACATAAAAGAATGACAGTGTTCCAAAGAGCAGACAAGCCTGCCCAAGACATGCAGAAACACTCGTGAGCCAAGGAATTAACAAAAGGGACAATGTGGAAAATGCCAATTGTGAAAAAAATTAAAGAATTCATGAGAGAGAGCATGTACCTAAGAGATACACTGTGAAAAAGGGAGAGCAGTAGAACCAAAATAGAGGAGGCCCAAGATATGGCAAGACACAGAAATGGTGAGACTACTATACACAGGGAAGAGCAGAATAGTAAAGACAAGTCTCTTAGGGATAACTGGTATAAATATATGTGTATCTATATGCACATAAACACACAGTACAGACATACACACATCCTTTATAGTAGTTACAGAATTAAAGAACCCTTCAAATGGTGAAAGGAGTTTTAGAAATTATGTAACCCAGTTCCTTTTGTAGAAGAGGAAATGTGACATATCTAAGGTCATTGGAACCCAATTCTCAATGTTCTTCTTATGTGTACTGTTTTCTAATCTGAAATAGTAAAACCGTAATCTTTTCTAGTCCAAATGTTCTTTCAGGGGGGGGGAGTAGGAAGAAGGGAAGGTTTAAGATGCCTGTTTATTGAGCTCTCACCATTTTAGTTCTTTGGAACCAAAGCATTAATTTCACCAGTGAACAATCCCCTCCCCTGACTGGGCGTTACTAGGCTGTTTCAACTGGTCCTTTAGAAGTCCCACAAAAGGTGGCAGATGTGGATCAGTGTCCTTCAAGTGTTAAGGGGGCCCACCTGGAGCAGTGACCCTTTGTGTCCCACAGCAGGGAATAAAGGAGACTCTAGTCTTAGAGACAGCCCCCAGTGTTCTCGGCAAAGATAGAACATGCTGAAATGGAGTTGCCTTTTGCTGGGTAGGTAGATAATTGCATAAGTCATCACAACAACCCCAAATACCAAGGACTCAGAGCAGTTGAGTAAGAGAATCATAACTAAAGCCAAATCACTGACACCCCCCCCTCAGTTAGCAATTCAAAGCACTTTATGCATAACTTCCAGCTGGGGAGGATGGGAAAAGTTAATCTTATTCTTCTAACCACTTTACAACTTTTAATTGTAGAGAAGAAGGAACAGAGGTACAAAGAAGGGAAAGTGAGAGCCAGGTTCAGAACTAAAACTCTACATAGTTAGAATGTTGGTAGTCTGACTAGTGAGCTGGTGTAGCAGAGGGAGAGAGAGAGGGGGAGAGGGAGAGAAGGAGAGAAGGAGGGAGAGAGAGAGAGAGAGAGAACCAGAATTAGACAAGAAAGTAATAGGGAAAAGGGGAAGTTTCATTTCTAGCTCAGAGAACTCAAGTCATTTTCCTAAAGAACTGTGGAGTTACTTGGTATGGGAACGAAGGTATAGAAAGGAGAAGAAAGTCTGTCTCATACATAGTGCCCGGAAATGGGGTTCTTTATCACGGACAAAAAAAACTATCCCCCCCCCAAATCTTGAAGAGCCAGTAGGCTCAGGCATTCTTTCAAAGACTCAACTATTCTCTCGTTCTATGAACGTGGGGTTTCCCAGTCCTAACCCTTGGGCAAATAAGGCCTCTTAAGAGTAACCCAGCTCACAAGGGTCTTTCAGAAGCATGTTTCTAGCCAGGGACAGCTGCAAGGCAGTCACAGGGAGGGGCCCAGAGGGAAGTAAGTGCATGCAGTTTAATTGAAAGAGCAGTAGGGGGAGGGGAAGACTGGGCTCCAGAGCTTGCCAGTTAAGTTTAGGAAATTCTAGGCAGCATAAGGCCAAGCCCACCTACCTCCCACCCCTTCCTGTTCCTTACATGCTCAGGTGATGACCTCTCTCTCCACCAGTAAGTGTTCCAAGATCTGAGGGGTCAGGACTATCAACCTGGGCAGTTGTCAAGGCTTGACCCCCTTGAAATGGACTCTACAACTTTAGTTGGAAAAGCAGGGGCCCAATAACTTTCTATCCCCAGGGCCTAAATTCAATTCAACAAGGATTTATTGAGTTTTTACCACGTGCCCATACTGTGTTGAGGTACACAAGGGCAAAACATCAAATTTGTCATAGCCCTCAAAGAACTAGCATTCTTCTGGGGCCCCAAACATAGGGCTCACCCATCTCAGGATAAAGAAAAATAGATTCAGCTGGTCCAGTTACTGGACTGTCCCAGCAATGGCCAGACAAAACTGAGGCTTCCCCGAATCCTTGAAGCAGGGATGACACACAGGAAGGGGGGTGGGGAGATTCTCAAGCAACTAGAATCAGGGTTTAACCCACAAGCTTCCTTCTCTGAAGGTAGCTACATGGGACATCAGTTTGTGAAGTCTAATCCCAAACCCAGCCTTATCTCTCAGGAATGAACAGAAACATTATAACCCCTCTTCCACCATAAGGCTCTCTATAATGCTGTCCCAGAATGCAAGAGATCTAAGGAAATCTGAAAGGCTGGCAAAGAAATTTTCCTGGGGTGAAGGTTTCTGTGGTGTATCTAGTCATTTCAGCTTACCTAAGAAATCGTACAGGACTCTGGTCAGGTTAGTGTTAGGACTGGGTTCTCGGGTTGAGACTATCAGGCTGGAGCTGAAGAGAAGAGAGGGGCCTGCTATCACATGGGTCTGGGGAATTCCAAATCAACTGAGTTCCTGCCATGGACAGGAGACCACAGATAGTTTCAGTTCCCCCAACCTAAATCCTACAAAAGACAAGGTGATTTTCTACCATATTCAATTATTGTGAATTTCTGTGGTCCCTTCCATTTTAGTGGACAGCTCCCTCCAGATTTCCATGGATTCAGTTTTTTAGGGTGAGAAAAAAAATCACCATTCTCTAATGCCATTCATTATACTCTGCAGAACCTCAGCAGGCTGACCAGAGTCCTGGCAAAGAAACTCAGAATGTTATGGCTGGAAGGGATTGTGGAAATCATCCAATCCAAACCCCTCATTTTACAGATGAGGAACTGAGACTTGGAGAGGTTAAGTGATTTGCCCCATGTCACACAAGTTGGTGGTATAGCCAGGGCTAAAATTCAGTTCTTCTGAGTCTTAATCTAGTTTTCTTTTTACCATACCAGGCTGTCTCTTACTCACAAAAGGTAAAGGCTTGGGGTATCATCATCCTAATCCTTTTGAGATGGAGGCAGCTTTCATTCTCTATCCTTCTGGGCCAGGAACAGAGCTAGGAACAACAGAACCCAGGAGGAGTCTCAGTTTTATACCTCCTAAAAAAAACACAGAAGCAACAATCTCTCTTGGCTTCCTTTCCCTTTGCTCTATTGGCACCATATACAGCTCCTTTCTCTGTAATAGGCTGCACTTCAACCTACTTTCACTGATAACAGGGACAGACTGACATTCCCAATATTATTAAGTTGGGGTACAGGGGCAATCTAGATAGTCATATAGCACGAGAAATTCAGATCACCTTGAAATGGAAGAACATGGAAAACCACGTTCTAGCCTTCTTTCTCACCATGGACAATCTGAGCTCAAAGAGCAACTGGTCAATTGATGAAGAGATCACCCAAAATTTCCCAAGTGACTGGAAGAGACAAGACAGCTTTAACCTACTAAAGAGCAAAGGCAAGCTAAACTGAGTGTCTGTCTTTGCTAACCGTATAAGTACTAACTTTGTATAAGGCTCCAGAGGAGCTCTGTAAGTCTGGTTCCATATACTTAGACTCTCTTCAGGCTCCTCTCTAGCTAGCCCAGGCTTTCAGTTGGGAACAGGAGTAACAGTTCAAGCCTCTTCGAGTCTGAGCAACAGGACCAATTCCCCTCTGCTTTCCCAACTAATCAACCAGACTCCCAAGAGGATGGCCCTGTGGCAACTCATTCTCCAGAGGTTGCAAAAAGCTGCTAACAGGACTTTTTCAGCTACAGACTTCTACCTTGTAGCTTCTAGGAGGCAAAGGTAACTGTAGAAGGGACAAAGGAGGCCAAATGAATTTAGAGAAGCCTACAGATAGGATGGTGACAATGGGACAGAAGAGTTCCTGATGAGGCGGGGAACAGAAAATGAAACATTCCCTTCATTCGGTCCCAAGTAATATAGGGAGGAGGATTAATTTGCACTACTAGAAAGGGCCACAGCCTAGTGTGACTGGACTAGCTGTGTTCTATTTCTGGGAGGTAGCATAAGCTACTAGAATAAGCATCAAGCAGGAGCCTGGATACTTGGGTTCTGATGCTGGTTCAGTCACAGTGACTTTGGCCAGATTACTTAATCACTTTAAACCTGAACTCTCCAATAAGCAAAATGGGGGAAGGGGAAAAACAGTTTCTGCTCCTATCTATTTCATAGCACTGTCATTCGAATAAGAACAAAAGAATTGCTACCTTGGGTCAGAAACATGGCCTGTCCAGTCCATGACAGTAGGTCTAACATTGATCCCACGGGATCTTTTATGCAATAGCATAATTGTTCTTTTAGATATCAATCACAAAATATCACAGATGTACCCCCCAAAAAACCCCAATATTTTAGTTTCCCTTAACAACTCATTATGGATCTATCATCTATTAATTTAGCTAATTTTTAAAAAACATTTATATTTTTAGTTTGTACCTCCTGGAATAATTAATTCTTTAAGTTTATTATGAAAAATAAGAATTCCTTTTATTTATCCTAAATTTACCTTTTTCAAGCTTCAAGGAGTGCCCCCTAGTTCTAGTATTCCAGCATTTGGTGATTAAGTCCAGGTTCACCCTATCTGTACCCTTCATGATTTATGACATTCTGTAGATGTCCCTGTGAAATCTTCTCTAAGTAAAAATCTGTGAGAATAAATAATACAAATGAAGTACTTTTGAGTCAAAGACATTATTACTGACATTATTATTAGTACTGCTATTTTATGCTCCACCCCTGAGTGTCCTAATTCCAGCCTCTCCAGGCTTCAGTTTCCCCATTCTGGAATGGGGTGTGCTCTCTAGGAGGCCATGGCAGGGTACTGGAAAGGTAAACAGTCTACCATTGACCCAAGAAAAATGTATAGCACCTTTTGGGATGAGCCTAGGTAGGATCACAGACTACACTGGTGGGCACATCTTAGGGTTTAGAATGGGAAAGCCTCTAAGAAGATGGGACAGAAAAACCAAAGTGGGCCTGGCAAGACAAACCAAGTAGGCCTGGCAATGCCTATCTGTAAAGGGAAAATCTATCCAGGAAGGCCCACTCCTCTCACCACACACAGGTAAGAAAGGTACTGAATGATGAGTAAAATCTCCGTTCCCAGAGGCCCCCACCTCCCCTTCACCTTCTTGGTTTCTCGGAACAGCTGGGTTTTCCCCAATCAGACCCCAAACAATGGCTCAAGTTGGGTGAGAGAGAAAACCTCAGGAGACAAAAGGGTCATTTCTGCCTAACAATAGGGTCATTTTTTCGTAGGACCACCCCAAGGAAAGGAATTCAGTCAAGGTATGTCCCAACAGAGAGACTGGAAGGGAACAGAAGGGGGATGGGGTGGTCTTACCCATCACCCGTGCCAACCCCCCCTTCTCCCAAGCAGAGGAAGCAGCAGCCGCCTGCTGTGTTGGGGGGGGGGCTCAGGAGCGCCCCAACACCTTCTACTGGGCAAACAGTCACAGCCTCGTCGGATCTGGCTAGCTCATTTGGAAGGACAGCTTAGGCCCGGTGGAAAGGGGGCGCTGCAAGGAACCCCGGGCTGGGGGGCGGGCAAGCTCCGGACACCCACACGGTGCCGCCGCCGGCGTGGGAAGGGGGCCCACTGGGCGCGCGGCCGCGGCTCCCCTCATCCTGGCCCGGCCGCGCGCCCCGGGCACGGGCACGGGCACCTCGCTCCGGCCGGCCCCGCGCCCCCGTGCCCCCACGGCGGCCTCGTTGCCATGGTGACCCCGGCCTCCCCGGTGAGGGTGGCAGCTACGCTCCCCGGCGGGAGAGGACCCGGGGAACCCGGCCTCTGGCGGGGGCGGGAGGAAGCTGGGCTCGCAGACCCCGGGACGACCCCGCGTCGGGCCCCTTGCCTGACCCTCCAGTGCGGCAATCTCGCCCACCCTCCCCGCAGCCCCAGCCCTGGCCCACTCACCTTCCGGCCGGGCGCCCGGAATGGCCGAGGGGCCCTCGAGCCCGGCTGCGGCTCAGGGCCCAGCTCAGCGCCTCGCCGGCTGCCTGCCGCTGCCGCTGCCGCCGCCTCCGCGGCCCGCCTGTTCCATGCCGCCTCGCGGCCGCCGCGCCGGCCGGGGGGCTCAGCTCAGGCGCCCTGCTCCAGGGGCCGCTGCTGCTGCCGCCGCCACCGCCACCTCCCGGCTCCGATTGCACAATGGAGCAGCCGCTGCCGCCGCATCATCCATATGCATGAGCTCGGGAGACTGGCTCCGCCCCCAGCCCCACCTCAGGCGAGAGCAACACATCCTCGAATGATCGATAGGTCGCGGAGAAGCGGGCGGGAGTTGGGGGCCGGGGGGGGATTTGCTCTGCTGCCTGAAGCAAGGGGAGGGGCAGGGAGGGAGCTGAGAAGAGGTGCTCGTTGCTCCAAAGCTTCCCCCCCCGCTTATCCTTCTGGACTCCCGTCCACTCGCCATCACCCTCTCTCCCTCCCCTTCTCTACTACCATTATCCTGGCCACTTCCAGGAGGTTGTTTTGCTCTTGAGAGGTGTAGTAATGAACTGCCCCCCACCCTGGACAACGAGGTGGAGTGTGGAAAACGAGGTGATTCTGGATAACGCTACCCCGGGAGCCAGGCGTGCCCTTCAATTGTGTTGTGCATTCCACTACTCTTACCCCAGAATCCTGGCAGGAAACTGAAGGGGGTGGGGATGGGTGGAAATTCGGGAGCAAGTCAGAGGTAAACTCTACGTTCCAGAAACTTGGTTTTGATTGGGATGATGGACAACCAACCACCAGTCAGCCAACAAGTATTTACTGGGCAGACTAGGTGATGTGGGTGACAGAAAAAAGTATGTCTGACCACAGTTATTCAGGAGAAAAGACACGGAAAGCAACAGTTGAGGGCTAGACTTATTGGTACTCACCATTCATCTTGGCTCTTAAGCAGCCTACTGGATGCAAAGCCAAAGTCTTGTCCAGGGGGGTGGGGGCGGGGTGGGGTGGAGGTTCATGGCCTCGTGGGTCTTGCTATCTGGTAAATTTCTTTGCTCCAGATATTCCCCGTGTCTGGAATGCTTTAACCCTCTTGGCTGGTTGAATTCCTTTCCAGCCTTCAAAGCCCAACTCAAAAGCCACCTCCTCCAATTTCTCTGACTCCCCCAGGGCAGAAAACACCTTCTTCTCTTGTCCATGGTACCTGACTTTTTGGTCTCCTAAACGCTAATATATTACTTTGTGTTACAATGATCTGCCATCCTAGTAGATTATAAACTCCATGAAGAGAAACAGTAGTTTATCTAAACCTTGTATCTCCTGCAGAGCCTGCCTAGACATTATGCATGTAGATATTGTCTCCCCAGGCCAGATCTTAAACTAAGCCCCAAGGACTGTTACCTTTTCATCTTTCTATTTCCTGAAGACTTGCTTAGTGCTTGGCATATAGGGCAAGGGCTAAAAACTAGCCCTTTAGTATGGGGAACTCCTGGGTGAAGATACTCCCTCCACCCTTGCAATGGCACAGAAATCTATACTGGAGAGTTGTACAGAAACCTGGGAAGACAAGTGATTTGTCTAAGTTCACAATTGCCACAGTCAGTGTGTCAGAGGCTAGACTTGTACCCAAGTCTACTTGGTTTCTGGGCCAGCTCTCTATCTACTGTGTCATTCTGCCCCCTCCCCAACGTATAGAAAGTGCCTAATAAATGCTAGTTGATTAATAATATATAGTAAATCTTATAAATGTTTGTTGAATAAATATAAGGCAGAAGACATGGGCAGCCAGGTGGCACAGTGGATAGAGTGCCAGGCCTGGAGTGGGAAAGACTTGAGTTCAAATCTGCCCTCAGATACTTGCTGGGCAAGTCACTTAACCCTGTTTGCCTCACTTCCTCATCTGTAAAATGAGCTGGAGAAGGAAATGGCAAGCTACTCCAGCATCTTTGCCAAGAAAACCCTGAAAGGGGTCATGGACAGTCAGACAGGATGAAAATGACGAAATAACAACAACATAAAGCATTGGTTCTTAATCTTTTTCTGTGTAGACCCCTTTGGCAGTCTAGTAAAACTACCCTTTCTCAGAATAATGTTTATATAGGGTGTTCCAAAAGGCTAAGTGCAGTTTTGTTGCACTATCTTCTTAAAGTGCCTAAGATTACAAAGAAAACCCATAATATTTAAATATGGTTATCATCTAGGGCAGCTAAGTGTCACAATGGGTAGACCACCAAGCCTAGAGTCAGGAAGATCTGAATTCAAATCCAGTCTCAGACTATCACTAGCTGTGTGACTCTGGGCAAGTCACATAATTCTGTTTGCCTCACTTCCTCATCTGTAAAATGAGCTGGTGAAGGAAATGGCAAAGCTGTATACATACATATATTTGTATATATATCTATAGATATATCTATATATGGAGAGAGAGAGAAAGTTTAAGAACCCTTGCTTAAGGGAATAGAACATCTGCAGTGAAAAGCAAAGCAATAATCCATATCCAAAAAAAGACCTATGGAGTCTGAATACTATTTGCTCTCTTTTTTGGTTTGTTTCTTTCTTGTGGTTTCTCCCATTGGTTCTAATCCTTCTTTACAACATAACTAACGTGAAAATATGTTTAATAAGAATGTATAGGTAGAGCCTGTATCAGACTGCACGCCATCTTGAGGAGAGAGGGAAAGAGGGGGAAAAAATTTTAAACTCAAAATCTTATGGAAGTGAATATTGGAAATTAAAAATAAATAAACATTAAATTTTTAAAAAAGCAAAGCAATAGCTGATTTACAAGACCTCTGATTTGCTTTGTGTAGGAACAACCAGAGCAGCTTTGAAATAGATCCCCAAGCAGTCAAAAACTTAGTAAATAAGTCTTAGAGAGTCGCCTGAGGCTCAGAGAGGTTGTTGTCTGCCCTCGGTCACACTACTAGCAAACTCACCCAAGTTTCCCAGACTCCTAGAGAAGCACTGTACTAGTTAGTACCCATGGTTCTTAACTGTCTCCATAAGTATATGAATGTGTTGAATTATAGGATTTTAAGCTTTAAGGAGTTTTTGCTTCCCCTAGGCCTGACAGCGTAGAAAGGGAGCTTCCTAGCCTCCCAGAGCAGTTGTTGCATAGAGATCTAGGCACCTTTTCTGACTTGCTACAATTCCGAAGCAGTTGCCTCCCCTCCCCCAACCTCCCTTCCAGCTATACATAGCTACTAGATATATCCAGGGACAACTCCACCCCTGAGGCCAAATTCCTAAGAACTACAGCAACCTATCTGAACTCTTCCTCAATGATTGATGTAATCTTACCACATCCTACCCTACACATCCCAGAGATTTTGAACCCCTGGCTGCTCTTTTATTCCCTATCCCCCTCAATCAAACTCCTTCACATCCTTCAATCCCCACCATGTCCCACTGGAAAGCTACCCACTCCTTCCACTATACTATCTGGAATGGCTGCTCCATAGGTAACAAACTAGCTTTCATCATAAATCTTTTTCTTTCTTGCTCACTCCATGTTGCACTCACTGAGACCTGGCTCCATTCTGATGAGATAGTTTCTTGCACTGGTTGCACATTCGTTCATACCCCTAACTTGCTGGTTGTTGTGGGGGAACTGGAATACTCCTGGCTCCCCATTGCCACTTCCAGGCTTTCTTTGGACTACCATCATTCAATAAGCTCTCCTCTTTTGAGGCTAATTCAGTCCATATTTATTAGCCAATCAGGATTCTGGTGGCCACTGTCTGTGGACCTTTAGAACAGGACTCTCTTCTTCCTTAATGAGTTCAGTTCCTGGCTCACAGTCTTTCTCCTTTACTCAACTCCTGCCCTCATATTAGACTTCAATATACATATTGATATTTCCTGAAACAACTTAACCCCTCCATTTCTCAACTTGCTCATTTCCCATGGCTTATTCCTCCCCTCCCTCCCCTCAGCTACGCTCACACACAGTCATATGCTTGATGTTGCCATCACCCACAAGTGACCCCCTTCCATGTTCATGAACACTGAAATTCCTTTATCTGATCAGAATATGTTATTCCACCTCTCCCTCTGCCCTGCAACTTCAAACCCTGTTCTTCACTCTCACTGCAGCTTCCAATACCTCTCTTCCCCATTTTGACCTCTTGGTAAATGAGTTTCACTCTACACTGAGTCCTTTGCTCCCTTATCCTATCAAAAATCTTTCCCTATTAAACCTTAGCCTTGGATTTCTCCCATCATACATTCCCTTTACTTCTAGTCATGTGCTGCTGAATGAAGCTGAAGAAAATCACAGAAACATGCTGACTAGGTCCACTACAAATTATTGTTCTATAATCTCAACTGGCCCTTATTTTGGCAAAGCAATTCTTTTCTTTCTCCTTAATCAGTTCATTACCCCATTTACCATAGTGCCTTTTCTAAACCTTTTTACCATTCCTCATATCTTCCATGGCTCTACTTCCCTCATCCTCTTAGCTGAGAACCTTGCCTCATATTTCACTAAAAAAAAAAAACTGAGGCCATTCTTTGAGAGTTCCCTCTTATCCCCTCCTCTTCACCCAACACCATGGGGAAGCCTTTCTTTACTATCTCCTTCACCCATGTCTCATATGAAGAGGAGACTCTTCTCCTTGCCAAGGCAAATGCCTCTATGTGCCCAAGCAATCCCACTCCATCAGATCTCCAGAGGATTGCCTTTTGTGTCATCTTCACTCTCTCACTTATCTTCAACCTTTTCTTATCTACTGGCTGCTTCCCCACTGCCTATAAACATGCCCATGTTTCTTCTATCCTCAAAAAACCCTTCACTTGATCCATCCATCCCTGCTAGCTATCCTCCCATATCTCTTCTTCCTATCCTGTCTAAACTTAGAGATCACGTAGTACAACTCTCTCACTTGGCAGATGAAGTAGTTGAGTCAGAAAGAAAGAAACTTACCCAATGTCAAGAGTATACAGTTGGCCTATGGAAATCTAAAAGCAGGTCCTCTGACTACAAATCCAGTGATCTTCCATGTATCCCACATTGGTTTCAGAAAGGTACAAATAAATAGCTATGTGAGTTCAGAGGGTATAAAAGTTATTAAAAG